GGGGCGGGGGGTGTTTTCGCGCCGGGCCTTGAGCGTCCCGCAGGGTGGGTCAGCGCTTAGTCCTGGTTTGGCCGCTGCGTGCGGGCAGAGCTGGGCCGGGGCCTGTGAGCCTTGTACCGGGGTGGCACGGGGAAGGGAACGGCCGCGAGTGGCGAGTGAGAGCTACGGGCGAGAGGGGGCCCGAGCCGGCCTTTGCCTGGGGCCCAGCACGAAGCGCTGGTTGCGGTTGACCGCGGTTGAACTGGCTCAGGTAGTTTGCAGAAGGGGGGAGGAGGTGGCAGACGCTTCACCCCACTTCTTGTTATCTTCCCCGCACGATTTTTGAAGTGAATTGGTACATTTCATCTCTTAACATCTGATTTTGCAACACACATTAAGGAATACAGATTACATCTTGGTGGTGGAAACTTAATGAATTGCTGCACTGTATATTGCTTATACGGCATGTTCACAAAGTTAAGGCTTTTTTTTTGTGAAGCAGTCTGCAAAATCTCTTTAAAAATATCTTCAGGGATTAAAGGGCCGTGTTTGTTGACTGACCTTCCTGAAAGAACAATCTAAACGGCCTGAACAGTTCTACAATCACTTCGTGTCTGTAAAAGGTGCCTTCTAGGGAAACCTGAATGAGCTTTCATCTCTAGGGCTACTGCTCTGGAGAACGTTTAGTAGATTCCTTTTAACTTTTCTCCCCAACAGCTATTAGTGATTAGCCAGGTGTTCTGACTTCAAAGGGGACAAATACCTGCCGGCCTGAAAAAGAGACTGTGTTTGGGAGTTGATTTCCCTCATGCATTGTCTGATGGCCTTGGTTCATCTAAAATAAAAACAAAATAAAAGAACAAAGCAAAGAAAGTGACCTGTAGGTGTTCAGACTAACGTTTCTGTACTAGCCTAAGTTCTTTTTGAAGTGATGGACTATCACTGGGTGATAGTTCATAATTTCTCTCTTTCATGTGTTTCTTTTATATCTCAATTTTAAAAGTTCAGGTTCTGCTAGTCTCTGCGAAGAGCCATGTCCTCTTGTTTGGTACTGTGATGGTAATGGCTGTCATCACTTGGAAAAAGTTACTTGCATTTTGCATCCAACAAAGTCAGTAACAGCTTTGAAAAGTTACTGGGAATATTTGCTCTGTGGAGCCATTGAGCAACATTTGAACAGAACATACAGGGGCACGGTGGCAGAAACTGGTAAAAATACCCAGTCTTAGCCTCGGTGGTTAAAACACTGTTTTCTCTATCCCAGAGGATTTTAGTATGTTCTAATGTCTCCTCTGTGGTGGTGGTAATTCCCGGTTTGGACTGTGTATTTGATGAAAAGCCATGCACTTAAATAGGTCTGATCTTAGCTGCCTATGAAGTGTTGTACGCATCAGTTCTGACCTCTAATGGTAAGAAAGAGCAGTATTCTGAGTCAGTTTTTGCAAGGATTGTGATATGCTAGAGTTTGTCATGACTGTGAGAATGACACTGAAAAGGTGTAAAGAACCTGGTCAACCTTTGTTTTCTACACTAGTGAGCTTGTCATCTTTCCACCCCAAATCACAAGGAAGATTGTTGTTAATGACACTTCCAAGTAGCATGGAGAAAAATAACATAATTTAATTTTTAAAAATTCTTATATTTAAAAGTCTTTAGAGGGTCTAAATCATATTTGAATTCTTTTATAAGCTTGTTGAAGGAGCATTTTGAAAAGCAAGGGACAGAAATATTGTAGAAGCTACAGCAGAGTTTAACTACATCCCATGCTGGTTCAAGAACTCCTGTGTTTGTAATTACTCTTGTCATTTGTTTTAACTACACAGAAACACAAGACGTTAAGTTTGTTATCTGGAGATAAGGAGAGGGAGTCATTTTTGAGGTAAGAAGTCGTCTTTTGGGGTGGGACTGAGGATGCTGTCTTTCTTATTGCAGGCAAAACGAGCAGTACAGCGAGGAGCCACAGCGGTCATCTTTGATGTTTCTGAAAACCCAGATGCCATTGATCAGGTAGGAAGAAGGGAGCCTAGTTTTATTACAGCTTCTTTTGGGTTCTTTTAGGGTTGCTGAGGCAAGACTTGACAGCATACAGGTCTTAGGACACACCTACTTTAAGACATGCAGCTACTGACCCTGGGTAACATGGTGCTGTGGTTTTCCTGCTCGTGTTCTGGCAGGCAAGAAGCAATAGAGGTGTTGAGAATGTGGTAGAAAGAGAAAAGTTTGGGGAGTTACATTTTTCTTCTAGCCCTTGCTAGAATCCAGGTCTGGGATTGAGGTTTTGAGAAAGGATGGAGGCAAAAGTTTATGGCCCCTTATCTAGTCAAACATATTTTCTTTTGCCCAGCTCTGTGTAAAAAACACAGGTATTTGGTCCTACCCAGCTTGTGATCGATAGTATTGTTGAGGAGCTGCTGTTTTTGAGGTTGCAAAATTACTTTCAAACCTGGTTCTAAACAAGATTCTTACAAAACTTACAAGCATTTCTTTCTTGTTCACAGCTGATGATTTCTGACCTACATATTTTGTGGTCGAGCAGGGTTTTTCTTTTTTTGGGGGGGTCTTGGTACAACTTCCATCTTTTCATTTGAAGTGGCTGAGGTGATGGCTCTGTGAAATGCTTTGACAAGATCCTTCCAGCCAATTCTGAGTTAGCCGAGTAGAGAGAAGAAACATAACAAGCACGAAAATAGTCTGTATCTGGTTTAGTTTTTTTGTCTTGAAACAAAACTGCTATTTCTGCTACAGCAGAAACAAGTGAAGGTGAATGTTTTTAAGTGCAGCCTGAATATCCTGGGGGGGGGGAAGAGAGACCATCAGTGTTTACGTTTAAAAAACTGTCTTTAATTCTGAAACGAGCATCTGCGGGACAAAAGAATGAAGACTCTGCAATGGATGCTTTGAGAACTGTGCTCTGCGTGTTCATCCAGGTTGCAGCCTTGATCTTGCAAACATTCTCAGGGATATTTTTTCCCTTTTTGTATACAGGAAAATTACGAGCACAAAGATGTTTTTTGTTTTTTTATTTACTTATTTTTATTTTTTTCCCTCTGTATTACAGCTTCTAGTTACTTTCAGCTCTGAACTTGTGAAGCTGAGTTACTGCCTCTTTCTCTCTTCCCTCTAACAGTAATAGCTGTCCTTCCTTGATTCTTCATAATAAACTGGATGCAACTATCCCAAATAGCTGGGAAACTTATCTAGTGGATGACTGGATATTTTGTGTGTACCAATAAAATGGAAGAAGGTTAGAGGCTTACTGCAGTAGCTGACAAAGTAGGACAGAGCAGCAGCCTATGCAATCACTTGGAAACAGAAGAGGAATGACTAGACCTAGCTTTCATACTCTTGAGCGTAAGAGTTACTTGATTGGCTTTCTTCTCATGCTGCTTTGGACACTTGCATTTCATGCATTTTGATTCTCAGCCAAAGTCTTCAGAACTCTTGACATCAGGAGATACTAATTAATTTGTCTTTAAAATAAATACCATTTTGGCACTCACAGTGGAATTGTGGAAAGCAAAGACAGATGGATAACAATGGAAGAAAATTTGCATGAGTTAAGCTGGAGTATCTTTGATTCAAATGAAAGTATCCTAAGATACTGAGTTTTCCCAGGTATGTTTAGAGTAATAGAACAACTAAGAGAAAGTGTTTTGAAAGGGAAGAGTGGATTATTATGAAAGGTGATCCTTCCTGCCAGTCAAAGAACAGGAATAGGGAGTAGGCCCGAGCAAGGGAAGATTGTCCTTTGACAATTAGGTAGCAGAATTGCTGCCAAATGAAAGGGCTTTACAGACAGATTTCATGGAGTTTATTCCCATTGATCTGAGTGTCTTCTGCTGTAGACTAAGAATGAAACTTATTTTTAGAAATGCTCTGTGAAGTCTGATTGGTTTCTTAGTTTTACTTTTGCATACTTTGAAGAGGAGTAACAGCACTCAGAGCATCATGTTTAGCAAAAGTCTGGAAGTGTGCAAAAGCTACTGAGGAATCAAATGAATTCTTTCTTAAACAAGAAAGCTTGAGAAGAGAGTATGTCCCTGCGAACGTAGGAACAGGGACTGGATTTGGCCTTAGACTAGGAAGCCTTGTAGACATATGGGATCCCTGAGTTGGATACTTCAGATTAGTTTTTAGCTCTTCAAAAGACATGTGTCTTAAAAATAGTTTTATCAGCGTTCTCAGAAGCCCAGTCAAATACTAAGAAGAATCTGTTTTAAAGTCTCAATGAAATCTGTCACCATCATCTGGACAGATTAAGTGGAGTACTTTGTAAGCAGGATCACAGACCAGTCAGTTGGTAATTCCTACATATTTTAGCCAGAAACAACAGGTAGATATCAACAATGTATCTATGGTATCTCTGACATATGCTACTCTTGTTCAATTTGCTCACACTTCTGTCATCTCATTCCATTCCCCTGTACCATTTCCATCTGCTGGTCAGTACCTTGTTTATTTTGTATCGACCAATCTCTATACCAGGATTTTTCTTGTGGGTCAGAATAAGCTATATAAATTTATCATGTTGGTGCCATTTTGTAACTGGACAATTCTCTTGTCTTGTTGTTCCCTCTCTGGTATATAGTTTAGCAGATTGTTTTTCTGGATTTGTTGGTCAGAGAAGTTATGCAGTCTCCACACTTAAAGGTTTGCAACATCCGACTGGATAAAGCCCTGGGCAGCCTGGTCTGATGTTAGAGTTGACCCTGCCTTGACTGGGAGGTTGGACTTCTGGGGTGCCTTCCCACTCATGTTATATTCTGATTCAGTGATTGGGCATTTCAAAAAAACATAGCTGGACCTGGAAGAAAGTTTCACAGTGAATTAAGCTATCTATTCATATGCTTTAATCTTTGAGGTTCCATCCTGCAATCAATAGCTCTTGTGGTTGCTAGAACCTAAATAATTGTTTGCATGAGTTTGCTCAGTTAAACAGAAGAAATTACAGACGTTAAAATGGCTAGGTACAAAGAGCCTGAAAGACAGGACTCTGGCACGAGATTGTTCAGAAAGCCAAAGAAATTTGTGTGTGAATAATATAACTATAAATTTGAAGTAACTAAAGGTTCAGAAAATGTGGCAAGGCCAATGTTTTTGGAATGGACAAGTTTTTATTTTTTTGTCCTTATGAGGTTTAACTTATTACAGTATTAATATATGCACTGGCACATAATACAGTTAAGTTAAAGCTGCTGTTCAGAAATAACATTTCATTATCCTTAATCTTGGTTTTGGTCAGTAAAAATAACAACAGCTTAAGTCAAAAGTTTAATTCGGGTTTAACTCTGTGGAATACTTAAGTGAAGATCTATGCTAGAGGAGAACAATTGGTGTTTGAATCAATTCCACATTCATATTCCTTTACTCTTTTCTCTATTGTCTAAAAGGGAGGTAGTTTTCCTAAAATGTGCTGTTTGAGTAGATTTTTTTTTTTTTTTTAATTCTAGCTGAACCAGGGCTCAGAGGACCCTCTGAAGAGACCAGTGGTATATGTGAAGGGTGCTGATGCTGTCAAGCTAATGAACATAGTTAACAAGCAGAAAGTGGCACGAGCAAGGATTCAGCATCGCCCACCACGGGTGAGACTTTAAGAAACTTTGTCTAGGTATTACACTGCTGTTACTTCATGCAGTGCTTGTTAACTGCATGGAGTGTTAAGAAGTTTTGATGCTCCCCATGAGCGTTAATATATGTAAAATTCTGTTGACCTAAATAAATTGAGCAACTGCATTGTGAACAAGCAGCTACACTTGATGTAAATACAGAATCCACAATGTGGCATCTGCTGTCTTTTTTAAGGACTCTTTTGAATATATAAATGGCTAAAAAATTTTATATGATAGAAGTTTTCCTTTTTCTTAATTAAATAACTTAAATTTTCATATTCTGGGTAGTTCGGATTTGTAAGGTAGTCTGCCCTGTGTTAACTAATAATTCTGTGTGATATTTTAAACATCGGTTAATTATTTTATATCTGATATTTGTAACTGTAATATAAAACAGTTTTTCTAGAGTTTTGTGGATTTTTTTAATACTCTCTACATGTAGTTTACAGAGGAAGAACAAAGCTAGAGGTTATCCATGTCCCAGTTACCACTTTAGTTTTATTGTATTTTTATGGAATTCTTCTATTAAGAAACATATTTGAGAAGTGGGCCATTTGCTGAAAATTCAGATGTTGATCTTTCACTCACTTAAGTATCCAAGCAAACCAATAAATCATGAAAACTTGTCTGTAACTCAGTGTGATTCACTCAGTTTAAAAACCTAGTTTTTGTGGGCTTGTTTCAGAGACACTGTAAATCTGACATCTCGTGACTGGTGTTTTATGTATTTCATTCACTGCAGTGACATATGAAACCCAGGTTTTGTCTCAGAATCATAGTTAATGAACAGAAGAGTGTGTACTTTGATTTTTGCCATTGTGACTGTGTATGCTTGACAATGACCACTGAGAAAGTAGAGAAGAGAAATTAACAATAGATTTGAGTATGATCTGAAGAAAGGAAAAATAATATTTTTGTTTTAATTTTTAAGCAACCCACTGAGTACTTTGATATGGGAATTTTCCTGGCCTTCTTTGTGGTTGTGTCTCTTGTTTGCCTCATTCTTCTTGTCAAGATCAAACTGAAACAGCGACGTAGTCAGGTAAGAGCAGTAATGAGACTTTCACTGAGTGCTGAAAGTTAGCTTCTCTTCCGTTTGGAAATGTGTTTAAAGGAAATCTACATTGACCTGTGATGTTCATTCAGTTAGATCCTGAAAGTAAAAGAGTATGGAAGCAGTCTATTTAGCCACTGGGACATTTCTTGTTGTTCAGAGGTTGATTATGAGTAGCACTGGTGTACTTCTAAAGAAGTCTAAGCTCTTGTTGCTGTATTGTGGAGAGAATATCAGGACTGAAAATAAATTGCAGCTCTTTAATAGAGTAACATCTATTGATTCTTAATGGGAAAGTTTTGCAAGGTAAAAAGTCTGGCTAGGAGAGATTCTAGGTGAGATACTTTTGAGTTTGTCCTGTCAAACATGAAAGGGAAAGCAAATGGAAGCTAATGGACTCTGAAGTTAGTAGCTGTAAACTGTCTGGTATCTACACATAAAAGGAATGCAAAGCGCTGTAGATGCTCAGGATTCTTACTTTGGACTATTGAGCAGGAAACCAAAGATGTTGTGGGCCAACGGCAGTGTTAAAAAACAGCGTTAAAAAAGGGGATGATAAATTCTACAGTAAAATGAAAACAACCTACTGCCTTCGTAGACTACTTCTGTTGATTAAATTTGGCAGGGAGAGGAAATGGTACAGCTAATTTAGTAACATTTAATTTTAATTCCTCTCTCAAGTATTGCTTCTGGTAGTATCGTGGTAACAGCATAATGGGGCATTACAGTCAATACAGTTAAAAAAAAGTTCCTGACTAAGTCTTACATGTTGTCTTGAATAGTTGCTGCGTATCAATTGAACAGTGGCAGTGTATCCCAACTGTGAGCACCTTCATCCTGCTGCACCCTGTTTCAGTTAAAAGTGGCTTTCATTCTCACTACTGCATGTGGCATACATTCTTTCCATGAGGCTTCTGATCTATATTCTAATTAGCCTTCTTTCTGCTTAATTTGTTAAATTGTACATTAGTCTTTCTCTCCCTTCTGTTGTAGAATTCCATGAACAGACTTGCAGTGCAAGCACTGGAAAAAATGGAGACCAGGAAGTTTAAGTCCAAAAGTAAGGGACACCGGGAAGGTAGCTGTGGAGCACTGGACACGCTCAGTAGCAGCTCCACCTCTGACTGTGCCATCTGCTTGGAGAAGTACATTGATGGGGAGGTAAAGGATAAGTGATTTTTTTTCAGCATGGGCTGAGAATTCAGTTGGTTTATTTTATCACCGTGATACACAGCTGGCTGTTGAGTACATTGTGTACTGAGGTTGTGCCGCTTGCCAGACTGATTACATTGAGTAGCCAACAGCCTCAACTGCATTCTGCATAACCCAAGGAACCTCACAGGCTTTTCCCCATAGTACAAAGTGAGAGGTGAGGAATCTGATTCTGCAAGTTGCTACCTCCATCAAGTTGCTTTTCTGAGGAAGAACTTGTAAAGAAGTAATGGTTACCTCAGTATTTAGTTCTTTGGGTATTTTTAACAAATTGTGTGCTAAGGTGATAATGCGTGCAAGCTCTGTTGGACATAGGGGATACGTTTTATGTTTTGCTTCTCAAGTTTTGATGGCACCTTGTCTTTAAAATGTCAGGTACATAGCACTGCTGGGAGGTCGGAGGAGAAGGAGGAGATGCCAAAAGGTTCAGGAACTGGTTTTTGACTCCTCAGTTACTGTGACTGCATTGATGTCAGTGCTTGCCTCTGTGAAAGTTCTACCCAGAGGAAGCAATGAAAGGATGAAATAGAAAATAGACTCCTTAGAACAGAGGCAGACAGTAATCACAGCTTTAAACTTCAATATAAAAAAAATATTTTGAGGACACACTTTTGAAATTATTCATAAAAAGTTCATCAGTTTTAAGGCCATAATAAATACCAGCTGCAGTATTTGAGTGCTGCAAGCTACAAACAGAAAGTTAATGAAGTTAGCTGATGGGAAGTTATTCAGAGTAGCAAGGATGAAGGCAGACAAGGACTTAAGAAGGGCTGTACACAGCTGACTGGACAGGAAATTTATGCATGAACTTCAGCATGAAATGATAAATGTAGGGAAGACCTTCATATATATTAGTGATGAGTTGTGAGGTGAGCATTATGTTCAGGATCTTGAAGCTGGTTTAGATAGCTTTCTGAAAGCAGATCAGTGCTTTGTGGCAGTCAAAAAGACAAATAAATTACTATAAATGAGAAGGGGAAGTCTAGAGAACTGAACAGAAAACATGATTGCACCACTGTATAAGTTGAGTCACGTTCTTTCACAAAAGATACTGGAAATGGAAGTGCTTCAGAAAAGGCCAGACACAAAGTGATCAAAGATTTGGAATAGTTTCTGTACTGAAAATGACTGAGTGGACTAGGACTGTTTAGTCCCAGATTGCCTGGGGGCAGAAGGGTTACAAAATCGTGAATGGAGAGCACGAACAGGGATCAGATGTTCATTTTTTTTTTTCCAATACACAATTGGGTGCAATTAAATGAAACTGCTAGGACCCAATCTAAGTCAAAATCTGGTGTTTCTCCACCAGCAGGTAGTAGACCTGTGGAACTTCTTGCCAAAACATGTTACAAATTCAAAACCTGACCTCATGGGGAGACTTGATCAGTGCTTGGAAGAAAGATCTGCTGTTTTCTGAACTGGTAGATAGATATTCAGCAGGCTCAGGAAATCCTATACGCAGATAATAGTTGGAGGATGAGAATGCTGGGCAAGGGAAAAAGTATATATGCTGTGTTGTTTTTTTGCTTTTCCCTGGATGTTTTCCATTGCTAGTAGTTGTAGGCAAGATGTGTCATTAAATGGAGTCTTGATTTTTATTTTTTTTTTAAAGTTCATTTTATATATTAAGGAAAACTTCAATGATGGGCTCCTTCAAGGTGTTCGTGATAGTTTCACTGAGCTAGCCCTTGGACAGCAGCCAACACAGCCGTTCACCCACTTCCTCCCCACCCCCAGAGGATAGGGGAGGGGATTGGGGGCAAGAATAAGGAGGCTTGTAGGTTGAGATAAGAACAGTTTAATAATAGAAAATAAAAGAGGACTTAAAAAAACCCCAACTAATATTAAAATAGTAGTGATAATGATAGCAGTAATAAAATATACAAATGAGTGATACACAGTGCAACTGCTCACCACCTGCTGACCAAGCCAGGCTTGTTCCCAGATAATGATCCTGGTGGAGCGACAATCCCGAACCAAAACCACAATCCCAGGAGAGCGAGAGCCTGAGTGAAAGCCAGAGAGAGAATCCCCCCTCTTTCCGGTCAGCCCTGGATAATACACTAAACATGACGTGATATGATCTAGAATATTTCATTGGCACATCCAAATGCCAGTTTTGGGGTTTGCTCTTCACTGCGTTTCTCCTTCCCAGTCCTAATGCAGCTGTGAACCAGCCAAACATGATGGCCTTGAGCTCCAGCAGCTACTAATAACATCAGTACTTTTATCAACGTTCTTCTCATAACAAGTCTTACACTGAAACCAAAACACAGCTATTCTAACTACTAAGAAGAAAATTTACTCTATCCTAGCAAAACCAGGACAGTGTTAGGTCATAGGGACACACAGCAAAAAGTGTCCTAAAGAAATGTGGTGTATCTCCATGAAGTTCTAACGTGCCTGCAGACTCTTAGTGAGAGCTAGTCGCTAGCAGTTGTGCTTTTTAGCTGTGTAGGAACAGCTGGCATTTTTTTCCTTCTTAACACTTCGAGACTAGGAATTGATCTGTTTAGTAGCTAAGTTGAAAATACTAGAAATAAGCTGTGAAAAATACACTCATTAGGAAGGAGTACTTTTTCATGTTCCTTCATGTGTTCCTGTAGGAACTGCGTGTCATTCCCTGCACTCATCGATTTCACAAGAAATGTGTGGATCCTTGGCTTCTGCAGCATCATACCTGCCCTCACTGCCGCCATAACATCATCGGTAAGTGCTGCAGTACTAATGCTCTGTTGTCGTCCATTTTGGACTTAAAGGACTTTCACTTACAAGGTGAAACAGAAATTGTACCTGTCTGTAAATCTCCATAGAGCCCATAGTTTTTATTGTATTCTCCCTCGTTGTGGGTGCACTGCCCAGCAGAGGGCAGAGCTGGTCAGCTCCTGAATACCAGGAGGAGAAAGAGCTGTAATAGATGGGTATGTTTTCTCTTGGTAGTTATAAAAAGACAATGTATTGTCTTTTATTTTTCCGTGGTGTTGTAACTTGGAATGTGTTTTCCCTTAGTTGCCCTCTCTAAAAAAAGTTTCTATTAATAACACATTTATGTAAAATAATGTGTAAAGTGAAAACTCGAGCAATGACTGCCAGCCTTGCTCTTAACCTGCAAGACCAGGAATGCTGTGTAAGCAGAAAGTTTTGCATATATGAGAACAGTACCTGAATTCACTTCTTTTCCTTTTTAAGCAAATACAGTTGAGTGTTTCAAATGCTTCCAGGCAGTTGCTCTTGACGTATTTTTTTTTCATTATTTTTCCTTCTGTGTAAAAAGTTGGTGCTTTTTAAAAAAAACTCAGTTGTGTGTGTAATGTAACTAAATTCAGAACAAAATACCCTTCTTTCATACATAAAGTATGTTTCTTTTTATTCCTTCCTACTTCTTTTCCCACTCTTTTTTCTCTCATTCAGAACAGAAGAAGGGAAATGCAGGTCCAGTCTGTCTGGAATCCATCAACCCAGCACGCAGCCGGCAACAGAGGGTGATTCTGCCTGTCCATTACCCAGGCCGAGTGCACAGAGCAAACCAAATAACAGCATATCCCACTCAGACAAGCATGGACCCTCATGGAAACCCTATCACAGTACTTACAGTTGAGCGACATGGTGAACAGAGCCTCTACCAAGCCCAGTCCCCAGCCTATATCCGAAGTTATCAGCCTATTCATTTGGACCATGCTTTAAACACGCATCACTGTAGCCTGGAACATAGGGCTTACTCTCCAGCTCACAACTTCCGAAGACCCAAGTTTGGTGGACGCAACTTTTCCAAAGCAGCGTGCTTTTCCCAATATGAGACCATGTATCAGCACTACTACTTCCAAGGCCTTAGTTTCCCTGAGCAAGATGGACAGCCTCCAGCTGGCATTTCCTCAAAGGGGCCTTCCCGTGCCTTTCAGCCTGGTAGCAGTGTGCTTTTCCCTCCTGTGGTGCATGTAGTGCCCTCATCCCACTTGGAGAGTGGCAGTACCTCCAGCTTTAGCTGCTATCATGGTCATCGGTCAGTATGCAGTGGATATTTGGCTGACTGCCCTGGGAGTGACAGCAGCAGCAGCAGTTCTGGTCAGTGCCACTGCTCCTCCAGTGATTCCATGGTTGACTGCACTGAGGTCAGCAACCAAGGGGTTTATGGAAGCTGCTCCACCTTTCGCAGCTCTTTGAGTAGTGACTATGACCCATACATTTACCGCAGTAAGAGCCCTTGCCGAGTGGGTGAGGTTGGTGGTGCAAACAGGAGTGCAATTGTTCTCTTGGAGGGCCCCCACCAGGATGAGCTTCCAGCTCATGGTCACAGTGTGGTGGGTGCTGACTGCCGGCCTATGCCAGCTTCTTCCTCAGGGGACCAACTGTCTAATTGCAGCATGGAGATGAACTATAGCAGTAATTCCTCACTAGAGCACAGGGATCCAAATGGCACTACCTCAGAGGGAGGACATGAGGCAGCTCCTGGTGCTGCCTTGGATGTTAAAAGGAACTGGAAGAATCCAGAGATAGCAGGGCCGCTTATGGAGCAGGCATGTGCATGCTGCTTTGAACTCCAGCACTCTGCCCTGGAGCCGAGCAATGGGACAGCTGACTGTAGTGCGCTCTTCCTTAGCTCTCCACTGTGGGGGACATGTAGCCCAGGAATAGAACCACAGTCAGGAAACACCCCAGGCTTGTACAGTATTAACTCAGACCATTTGCATAGGACAGATGGGGTAAAATATGAGGGGTTGCCCTGCTGCTTCTATGAAGAGAAGCAGGTAGCCTGTAGTAGCAACAGTGGCAGTGGAGGTGGTGGCTGCTATACAGAAGACTATGCAGTGAACGTGCAGTACACGCTTCCTGATGACACCTTGCCAAGATGCTGTAAGGGTGTATGTGATCTGGGTCAACGCATTCCCATAATTCCTGAAGACAGAGACTGTGAGCTGATCCTACCTACAGAGTGCCAAGGGACCCACACAGGGGGCTGTACTTCCTGGGATGGAGCGCCTGAGCTAGATACTTACCTGCGCTGCCAAGGTATGGCAGAGGTACAGGATGAGAGGGGGGTGTGCTACGAGGCAACGTCATTCCTGCAGCAGAACTACTCTCAGGAGGAGGAAGCCAGAATGCTCTTTCCCAGTCCCACTCTGAACTCCCAGAAGCTGATGACAACCACAAAGGCCACAGGTAATATGTGTGCTTTTTTGATTGCTTGCTACCTTTCTGTCCTAGCATAGGAAATGCTGCCAGCTTCTTAGGTACCTGCAGCCATAAAAGTTGCTGACATCCTTTGCATAAGAGCAGGTTATTGACTAATCCTTTGCCCAAAAGTGTTATTCCCTTCTTACCTGTGCTCATTTGGTCATAGCTAGAGGAATAAAAGATGATAGTTTGCTAGCTAACCCAATAAGAGCTTTTATACTCATCCTTTGTGGGGAGGGGAAAAAGTGACTGCTAGTACCAGGCCCCCATTAGAGCTTCCGCAGCCAGGGACACCGTGCCAGTCAGGGCAGCTGTGGCGAGCTGCCTAAGTAGGCAAGGCCATGGTGCTGGGAGGGGACAGACAAGCTGAAGGGTAAAAAAAAATTAGTTAAAAACTTGGAAATGCTTTAGAAGAATATGTGAGAAAGTCTCTGTTGTGGACATACACAAGGAGGAAAAAGAACCACTCACAGAATGAAGTGGGTATTCCTTACCTGCCTTGCCATGGCTGTTCTTAAGGTTGTTCATAGAATCATGGGGTACCCTAGGTTGGAAAGGATCTCAGGCCGTCATCTAGTCCAACCTCCTGCTCAAAGCAGGGCCAGCTCTGAGATCAGACAAAGTTATTCAGTTTGTCAGATGAGACCAAGTTTATCCAGTCAGGCCATGACAACCTCCAGGGGCACCCCCTCTCTGGGCCCTTGTTCCCATGATTGACTGCCAGCACGGTGAAAAGATTTTCCGTATATCCAGTCTGAACATGTCAGGTTTCAACTTAAGCTCCTTCCCTCTTGTCCAAAAGGCAGCACTGTGAAGACCCTGGCTCCATCGTTGTGACAACCTCCATGTAGGTATTGCAAAGCTGCTAGGGGGTACCCCTGAAGCCTTCTCTTCTGCAGGCTGAACAAGCCCCAGTCCCTCAGCCTCTTCTCACAGGGCGAATGCTTCAGCCCTCTGAGCATCTTGATCTCTGCTGAACTTGCTCCAGTCAATGTCTTGTTTTGAGGGCCCCAAAACTGGATGCAATATTGTAGATGCAATATTCCTTAGTTTTCTTTATCCTTCAGGTGCTGGATCTCATCCCTTGGAGAGAAGCCAAATCAGTGACTAGACCTGTCCAGATGATCCCGGCTGGAGAAGCAGAGCTTATCAGAGACTCCAAATTCTCATGGACTTAATTTTTTTTTTTTTTTTTTAATAAGCTTTGACGAACACACAAAAGTGGTAATGTGGAGAAGTCCCTCCCCCACTTCCTTTTCCTCTGTGTCCACATCAGCTTGATTATCTCCTTTCTCCCTTTTGCCTGAAGCCTTCAGGCCTCCATTTGCGTGCAAAGCCCATGTGGGACATAGCGTGGAGCATTTCTAAGCTCTAGTGCCATTTCTATTTTAATGACAAAGTGTTATTTATATATTCTTTTTCAAAGTGACCGTGTCAGCTCTTGCTGAGAGGTAACACGGTGTGTTAAATAAGCCAGGCTATATGTAGATGCTGTTATCTCCTACTTAAAGGAGTCCAGCCTTTGATAAGCTCAGGGCTACACCTGCCTTAGAAACCAGATAGCACCTTGAAATACAGTAGTCCAGAAGCATACAGCTGCTGAATGGATGCTCAGATACCGAATAATGCTAGTAGCAAATCCTGGTAGCCAGCAAGTTATATATGAATGATTCTGAGGGAGGTGAAGCATTGGACTTTCTCCTCTCCCCTCCTCCCCTTTTCATGCTGCTCTGATGATTTGGCTAGGAAGGGTCTCTGGCCATTATTAGTTTTAATAGAATGAGGGTAGGGAAACTGATAGCTTGGAACATTCTCATCCTCACTTCCTGCTAAACCATGGACATCTTTGTATCTTCTGACTGGTGAGGAATGCTGAGGACTCCTCCCTCAAACAGATACTAGAAGAAAGTGCTCAGAAAGGGTAATACCTTTGTAGGTAATGAACCTTGCCTTCCACAGGAAGTTTTTCAGGCACCTGTAGCCCCTGTTATGGCTGTGAGGAATGCTGGCATGTGCAGGAGAGCAGAGCTTGCAGCGTGCTTGCAGCTTGGCTGACTTATTTTGGAAACAGCTCGGAAAGTGTCTTGTTTCCTTATGGACTGCAAGCATGCCTAAGGGAAACAGTGCTTGTCACCTTTTGTTCATGTGGGAAAGTGAGGGACTTGGTTTAATCATTGTTTTCTTCTTTGCTATGGTTGATGTAGCTTCCATAGATCAATCTGTTATAAAGGTTTCTTGGGCCCGGCCAGTTGTGCTTCATTTTTGTCTTGTGTACAGAGTCTTCTCTGTACCCCATTAGCCTGGGCACATACTTTTTTTCTTATACTAGTGGGGATGTTTGTTATCACGAGATAATATATGTCGTCACTTCTGATAGCAATTGTTTCCTGTGGAAACAGCGGCTTCTGAGTAAGAGGCTACCACAGCATGGTTTAAATTGCCTGTCATGCTGCATGTGCCTGAGGACACAGTGTCGTCCTGTCTG